CAACGCCCGCAGTCCAGCACCCAGCACCCCAGCACAGTGCCCAGCGCCCGTGCGCATCCCAGCCACTCCCAGCCACTCCCAGCCGTGCACGACCGTGCCAGCGAGCAGCCCGGGGCCCGACCTAAGCATTCCTTATAATTATTCCCGAACCCTTATGTGTGCCTTTGACCTGTTTGACTTTTTTTAGTGTGCTAGGACTATATGTGTTATTATTATGCATTTTTGTCAAGTCTAGATGTAGGACCCAAGTGTTCCAATATCCACGAAACTTCACGAACTACTTGGTTGAATCAAGTTTGACCAAGGGTGCTTGTGATTGTTCTCTAAGGTCAAGTAGGTGTTGATCTTAGTATATAATTGTTGTAGGTGTCTGACGAGCCGTGCTTGCTGCCTACATCCATTTGTGTGCCATTTTCTCCGTTGCTACACCAGGTGGGTTTTACTTATGAAAATTTTCTATGCCATACGTGTGTTTAAGTGATTGGTTGGTATGACCTATGTATGAATGTGAACCTGTGGCCTACTGATGTGAGCTGTTACGGTCGTCGGTACGGTTGTCCCCGTCGAGTTACGGTACGGTTGCCCTTGCGAGGCAAGTCTCCTTAAGACCTAATGAAAGGCCGTGTCCGTTACAGTGGCACGCACTCCCGTCGTTAGGGTTTATGCATCCCCTTTCTGCGGCTAATGATAGATGTGCACATGAGTGAGTTATTGTTGTGATTAGGAGATGAGATATGATGATGATTGATTTATATTCATGCTGCGACCATACCATCTAAACATGTATTATTTATGTGCATAGTGGTGAGCACGCTTTTCATCTAGTGCTCATCCCCACCTGCTCTTTACCGATGCAGGTTAAGCAGGAGTTGGGTGACGAGAAGAGGCGAGTGGGTCGGTCATATCTATTTATCGCTTCCGTATAAATAAGGCTTTATGAACCCTTTTGATGAGACTTGATTATGTTATTTCCCAGAACTTATGACTTGCTTGTTTTGGAAATTTGTGGAACCCGGAGTGATGGGTATTATGATTGATTATATATTCATGTTGAGAATTATGTCTCGTGATGTGTTTCGGTTAATGAAAACCGTTTGTGAAAACCGGGTAATGAATCCCCGTGAACCCAGATAAGACTTGGGTTATGAAAAATGTTGTTTAACACCCATTGAATTTTCGAAAATGATTTTGAAAATTTTACACTGATTTTTGGAAAGTCTGGAATTTCTTTAAAATCAAAGTGGGGTGTTACAGCTGGTTTGGTTGCTGCCTCTGGGGTTCGGAGCACGCATAAGAGAAGTGCTTGTGGCGCTGGAAGTTGTAGCAGACTTTCTTAGAATACCAGCACTGTCCTCCATGTATACGACTGCAGATAGGACACTTCTGATTCGGGCCCTTGTCGGCAGGGCGCTCACCACGTCAATCGTTTCCACCATGTTTTCCCTTCTGGTCATCCTGATGGGAATCAGCCTTCCTCTTGCCTGAGCTAGAGTCAGGCGGCACAGATGAAATGGGTTGAGCATACTGAACGACAACATGATAGTATGAGGGAACTGGAGCTATAGGAATTAGGAAACTCTCAATTTTTTGTGCCCGAAATACAGTGTCGGCATATGACATCGCTTTGTGACTCCCTACTAGCTCACGGATTCTCTAATTCAGCCCCTTAAGAAACTTGTGGGTCTTCTTCACATCATTGTTCACAGAGTCACCAGCTAAAAGGCACATCCTGATGAAGGTGCGAATATACTCGTCTACGGTGGTGTTGCCCAGTTGCAGATGGTAAAACTCATGCTCCATGTGATCCCAGAAGCTCTGAGGAAGGAACTTGCCTCAAACCATAACCTTCATCTGCTCCTAGGTGAGAGCGTTAAGCTCATCCTCTGGCTTCCGAGACCAGTGGTCGATCCACCAGTTAGAAGCATCCGCCTTCATCTAGAAAGTGGCGAGAGAAACTCGTTGTCGGTCCGAGAGAGGGAGCACAGCGAAGATCTTGTCTAGCTCGTTAATCCATTCCAGTACTGCGGTGGGGTTTTCAATCCCCAAGAAAGTCGGTGCATGCATGTCTTGGAACTGGACTATGAGCCGGGTAAGGTCCATGGCCGGAGGGGCCTGGTGATGTTGAGGTGGCGGGGAAGGAGACTGGGATGGCTGCCTGTTGAAGTTGTTGCAGGTATTCATATCTCTACATTGAATAAGCCGAATAAAATTTAGCACATAACATGAATACGAAAGTCTAGAGTTTGCCATTAAACACTAGAGTTCAAATCATTTAAAGGTGGATAAGTCCTAACCCCGATTTCATTCCAGTAATCAACAATCATGTAATGAACAAAAATCTCAAATATCATTTAGGTATTCATAACTGAGTTGGCACGACACGAAGAGAGCGAGTGGTCATAACATTAGATCGAAACATATAATCACGTAATTCACATTAACCAGTCTACAGAAACGCAGACTGACTCTGATACCAAACTGTAACGTCCCACTTTTATTTGACGAAATTCAGAATAAATTTTTCAAAATTTATTTCAAAACACTTGAGGCGCTACTAATTGAAAAACCATTTTCCACAATATCATAAATTCAACTCCCTAACAGGTCCAATAATCAGTCAACCCCCAAACCGGGTTCATCAATAGCATCAACTCCCAAAATGGGGTTTCTCAAATTCATAAATACTAGGGAGTACACTCTTTATCAATAATCTAGTACTCAACCTAAATCAGAAATGCATAAATGATACTAAGCAGTTTAAACAGCGTAAGTAATCAGTAGTATGACATGAAGAGTAGGTGGGGATGATCACAATTGGAAAATCGAGGTGCTCACCACTATGCAATAATTAATATTCAAGTTCATAAAATAAAGCAGGTATGGTCGCAGCATGTATACAAATCAATCAACTATCCCATCTCCTATACCAGAGTTCTTAATCGTGTGCACACCTAACCATAGACTACTAAATAGACTTACAACGAATGCCCCTCAATGTGGCCTTACATCGAATCCCATACTACTAGGAGTAAATGCCGAATGCCCCTCAATGTGGCCTTACAATGACACTGTACTGAATGCCCCTCAATGTGGCCTTATAATGATATGAGGAGACTGCTTATACAAGACACAACCTGGTAGTCGGGGATAATCGTTCGACGGCCGATACAGCTCACATCAAAGGATACATGATCCGCATGCACACTTTGATCATACCGAAAAATAAACAATAATAAAATTTAAGGCATAGCAATTTTTCAAATTAAACCCACCTGGGTACTCTGGATCTACTACTGAGATGAGTTTTCGTGTAATATCCCGACTTTTTATCAGTATAAATCATGTTTTTAGTTCCGATGTTATTTTTCGAAATTAATTAATTTCAGTTATTTCAGTCAAAATTACCGGAAATTGTTTTCGACGTACCGTTTACGTCCGGATTAATTTTGGTAATTAAGTATCATGCTTAATTAATTGATTAAGCTTCAATTTATGATTAATGATAATTAATCATACTTAGCAAAGCCTAAGCCGTCCGGATTTTGAGTTTGGACCAAGTTAAAAGCCGTGCATTTCCTAAGTGAGTAATGTGATGGTTTGGTCCAAGATTCCCTCCCAACATTTGTCCTGGAAGCCGTGCATGTTGCTAGAATTTTGGTCCAAGAGATTGTCCTCTAGTGCCGTGTGAAGTGTGTGATGGATTTTAGTGCATTTTGTCCATTTGTCATATAATGTCGTGCGATTCTTATGCATAGTAGTGTAGCATCTTTGCTATTCCAAGTCATGCTAGAAGGCCGTGCGTCCTTGTCCTATAGCTGAGCACATGTTGGTGTTTTTTTCAAGCATTTTTCTTCCTCTTTGCTAGCATATTCACGTGACCATTAGTGAGGCCAAGAGAGGTGTGCATGGTTGCCAAGTGTCCTTAGCATTTGACCATCTTTCTCTCCCTCACCCTTTATACCCATTCGGTTTTTATATGTTAGGGTGTTAGTAAAATTTTCCTTTCACCCTCTCCACATGTTAAAGTTCAAGCTTATTTTCCCAACACTTAGCAAATTCAGCAAAACATCATAGCCTATTTTACTCGCACGGCTAGTAGCTATCGCACGGCGCTCGTCGTACAAGCAAGGCCACGCCCAAGTACCGCTCGGTTAACCGCAAGCAGCAAGTATCGCTCGCATAACCGGAGTTCTCCACGGCAGTCAGCACATCACGCATCGGCCAGGGGTACGCGAGCATTGTCGAGTGTTGTGGTGGTCCGTCGCCGAACCGCAAGCTTCCGCACGCTACCGCACGCACGCGGAGGGGCACACCCGAGAGCACGGGAGTTTGAGAAGTTTAGTCCCTAGGGCTTAACAAGAGGTAACTCCCGTCGATTATTGACCGAGAGTAGCATGTTCATTAAGTTAATTTTATTAGTATCATGCATGCGAGATATGAGTAGCCGTAGCCTTAGCCGTGCCAATTATTGTCATGTTATGAGTTATGTTCTCTCCGGCCATTCTTGCATGTTCAGCTTTTATTTGCAATATCATGTTTAGATTAGCTTTAATGTTCGGATGATTAGTCATGTTTGCGGTGTACGGCCGAGGGTAACGTGGTTGCGCACGTAGCGCACCACGGGCCGTACTTGCATGCTCGATATATTAAGTTCCTTATTCTCGTGCATTTTCATGTGATATATTCAGTAGATTTTTGAGCTCATATTCAGTTTGGTTAGAATTGCCGAGATATAATGAGAATAGGTCGTGAAACGACTTAACGCCGTAGGCGGCGCTCGGCGCGCCCGCCGCGGCCATAGATAGCCTTTGCATGAATATGCACGTTTTCAGTATTTATGTGCTCTTATGTTCATGTCATGTTATTTGAAGTTAGTTTGTTCGGAAATTATTGCCGGACGGCCGGCAAGGGTCGGCCGTGGCCGCGCTGTCCGCACGTAGCGGCAGCAGCGCGCCCGGCAG